CAGACATTTCATCGTCCCGAGTCCTCTGCTGTCAGGGCTAATACAACTCATGATTCGTACCCTGTGAGCTTCAAATGAGTGGGATCATTCAGAAACTGTCAGGCACATTATAAGTATGGGTTGTTATACTCATGGGTGGAGATGGAAGTGTGGGGGTGTGGGAAGGGAAGTGTGGTCTGTGGTGTAGGTAGAAAACCCATTGAATTTGGAGACAGAAGACCTGAGTTCAAATCCTGCCTCTGACACTTGTTATCTGGGTGACCTTGGGCCAGCTGACTTTACTTTCCTACCTCTGTTTCCTCAACTGTGCAGTGGGTTGGACTGGCTTACGTAGGAGGTCCTTCCTAGCTCTAAATCTATTATCTATGTCATCAGGTGGGAGAAGTGGGGATGGCAGAATGTTGTATTTCCCAGGGGCCCAATCAAGGCAGGACCCCTGGGACTCCTTAGCTCACGATGTGGCCTCTGGAGACCTGAGGCTCATAACTCACTTCCTGAAACTTCAGCCCATCCCTCGCCAAGGACCAGCCTCCGAGTGGTCAAGCAGAGATGACGTCAAAAGAAAAGCCAGAAATCCAGCCCCAGCCACGTGGGGGAGGAAGTCTGTAGAGGGATGGTGAGGTGAGGTTAACTGGATGAAAGATCCACAGGGAACTGTACTAGGGATGTCCTCAGGGGCTGCCTGATATCACTGGCTCCTAGAGCTGTGCTGTGTCTCACGCTCACCAACTCACACACTAACTCACACTGGGCTTCCTTTTCCTCCTCCTCCTCCTTCTCTCTCTCTCTCTCTCTCTCTCTCTCTCTCTCTGTGTCTCTCTGTGTCTCTGTCTGTCTGTCTGTCTGTCTGTCTCACACACACACACACACACACACACACACACAGATGTGTCTACACAGGGAGAGATTCCCTTCACTTACCTTGGCTGACATACTCAGAATCACATGCATGGTGATTCAGTAAGAAGATCATCTGTATTCATGCTACTCCAAACTCTTCTTAACCCATGGTAATTCTCACATTCATACACACACGTATATGCACACTCACCCATGGACATGTGTTCACACCCACACACCCCAAACTCTTTCTCCAACCTCTTTGCCAGTCGAATGGCTTGGAATATAAATACAGAATATCCTCTGACTGGCAGGTGGAGGTGCCAGCTTCCTCTGGACACAAGAGAAGATATCGGTGGGAAAGGAGTAGCTGGGCATAGGTATGGATCTCCTGCTCCAGTGCCCAGCATGACCCAATCCTGGGGTAAGATCCCAGAATCATCGGTTTAGAGCTGGACAGGACCATAGAAGCCAGCTAGCCCCCCCCCCCGTTTTATAGGTGAGAAAACTGGGGGCAAGAAGGGTTGAGTGATTTGCCCAAAGTCGAGAAGATTTTAAGCATCAGAGCTGAGATCTAAACCCAGGTTCTCTGACTCCAAATGCTCTCTCTTGTATCACATTGTATCTCCAGCTCTATGTAGCCGTATTTCATAGAACTGGAGGGGACCTCAGGAGCCTGCCCAGTCCAGGACGCTCATTTCACAGACGCCCAGGGAAGTTACTTGCCCAAGGTCACTCGGCAGTAAACGCTAGACATGGGATTTGAACCCAAGCCCTTTGAGTCCAAATCCAGTCTTTAACCCACTGTTCCACACTGGGGCGCTCCAGCCCTTCCTCTGGCTGACCAAGCCTTTGCTTGCATGTTTTTCCAATGGCCCTCTTGGATGAGGAGCTCTGCAGCAGCCGATGATACTGGGGCTGGCTGGCTTCAGTTCCTCTTCTTATGGCTTCAAGGTAGACTTTGTTTTTTGGGGGAGGGGAAGGGGATTGTATGGCAGTCGGAGGAGCCACTTCAGGGGCCTGAGGTGCCCAGCAGACCGGGGAGGAGTTGTGTCTCCTGGACAGAGGGAAGGGAGCCAGAACCTCCAGTCTCTCTGCTCAGCTCTGGGTCTCAGGAGAAAGTTAGCAATCACACTCCTCCCAAAAAACTATGCGTCTTGAGGGGGAAAGAGGGGATCTGGTTCTATACGAACCAAAGGCCTGATCTGAATGCCAGACTACTGTCCACCCTCCCCTCAAAACCAGAGCACTCTAGGCCCCACCGAGAAGTCACTTCTTGCCTTTGGAAACCGAGGTCAACCCCCACCCCCCAACTCAGGCCTGCCTGCTGGGGGAGTTGGGGAGGGAAAACATATCGCCTGGGGGCAAAAATAGCCTTAACCTTTGTCTCCTCCCACTCCCCACCACGCTGGTTCTTTCTTGCGGCCTGCCTTCCCGTGAGGGCTGCACCCAGAACAGCCACAAACAGGAAGCCCAGGGGAAGGGGGTGTATGTGGTGGAACTAGGGGCAGGACCAGGGCAGCTACAGCAGGGACCCCTTTATTTCTCCTTGGAGGTGGAATGAGGGAGTCATAGATGGCTTGTGTTTAGGGGGAGGGAGCTCATTTCCTGTACCCCTTTAAACCTCAGTTTCCTCATTTGTACAATGAAAGGTGTTGGATTTGATGACCTATAAGGTTCCTTCTAGGTCTAAATCTATGCTCCCATGATCCTTAGGGTGTCTTTGATACCTCCATCCTCACACACCCACTGGTTGAGGGAGTATGACCCTATCCCACCTCCCGCCAGGATAATTAAATTCTGCGCCCCATGCCCCATCCCCCTCACAGTTATTGACATGTGTGTTTAGTCCCCTCACTGGATAGGCATTAGTGACTTGAAGAATATGATTCATGGCTTCAGGACTGGGGGCTACACTCAGGTCCTCATTCATCCGTAAGTCTTTACTGAACACTTACCATGCATTCAACCCCAAGCTAGGTCAACATGTCATATTCTCTGACCTCCAGGGAATTACCACCTAGTTGAGGAGATAAGATGTATTTCTTGGAGGAACCACATAGCAGGTGAAATAATTTTCCCTTGGGTCTATTGCTTAGCCAGGCCCCAGTTTCTTCCCCTGCAAAATGAGGGAGTTGGACCAGATGACTTCTGAGATCCCTTATAGCTATAAATCTCTAACGCTATGACCATATCACACCACTGCTCAAGCATTCCTTGTGACTCACTCTTGCGGTAATTCTTTTGTGGGACATTGAAAATCTTTCACCCTCTGGACTTAGTACTCCCTTTCATCCACTCTGTGTGCCAGCCCACACCAGACTAGCTGCTAGGATCCTGCACATGAGTCATCTTCTGCCTAGATACCTTGGTACAGATTGTTCCCCATGCCTGGAATGCCCTCCCTCCTGACCGCCATTTCTTGGCATCCCTCACTCCTTCAAAGCTCAACTCAGGTGCCCCCTCCACCAGGCCCTTCCTGCTGTCCCTTGGAAATTACTCTGTATTTACTGTGTATTATATTGTCTGTGTTTTCTTTTTGCCTCTATGCTGTCTCTCCCCATAAACTGTAAGCTCTTTGAAGGCAGGGCCTGTTGCCTTTCCGTCTTTGATCTCCAGCAGGAAGCAGCAGGCATAATAAATGCATGTTGAATAAATGAATCAGACAAAGCACATACATGTCTCTCATCAGGGTTGTTGGTTTGTTTTTGTTTTTTTTTAAGACCTTTGAACTTTCAATGAGGAAAGTCTATCCATGCAAAGGGGTTTTTAATAGGAAGGATTTTAATGGGATTTAGAGCTGAAGGGAAGGATTTAATAGGATTTAGAGCTGAGGGAACTTAAAATCACAGAATAGGGTCCTAGATTTAGAGCTGGAAGGGACCTTAGAGGCCATCTAGATCAGTGCCTTCATTTTACAGATGAAGAAACTGAGGCGCAGAGAGTTAAGTGATGCGCTCAAGGTCACAAAAGTCCAAACAGTGAGGATTTGAACACAGGTCCTCTGACTGCCACGTCCAGTGCTCCTCCTCTATTCCCCTGCCCCTATACCCTGTTGCCCTCCGCAGGAGTCACATTTAGTGCCACCAGTATTTTCTCTAGAGAGGCGGTACCCATCTAGGCCCCCCCGGTCTTCCAAAGGCCCAGTGCTCTGAGGATCAGGAGATGATCATGGCTGGGGCTGGGTGAATTAGAGAAGTTAATTCCTGGCAACGTGTAGCACTCCTCCCCTCCCTCAACACAATGATTGTGTGTTTGGCTTTGGGCACACGTGTGTGAGTGTGTGTGTATACGTATGCATGCACATGTTCTAGGAGGAGGAAGCGGTTTCCTGCCCAGGACTTTGGATCTTCCCCTGGGAGGGGAGGGATAGAACCTGCAGGATCAGAACTCTCTGCAACTTTTCGCTGGAAGGGATATTAAAGCTAATTCAACCCGAGCCTTCCCCACCCCCACCCCACGCCCCTTTACCAGTGAGGAAACCGAAGCTTAGATGAGGGAAGTTACTTGCCTAAGGTTTCACAGGAAATAAGAAAAAGAGTCAAGATTTAAACGGAGGTCCTTGGACTCTCTTCACTGCGCCCCACTATCTCCTTATTCACAGGAGGGAGAGGGCACAAGCATTTATTAAGGCCCTGCCTTGTGCCAGGCACTGTGTTAAACGCTCTACAAATATTGTTGTGTTTGTCACCCCCCCCCCGGGGGGGTTATTGGGCACCCTTGGAGCCCCCTGGGAACTGAGAGATGAGGTCACAGGGACAGAGGCCGGATCCTTTGCCAGGCCGGGGGCCATTTTTTGCCGCTATCTGGCAAATCATTCTTGGTCAGGCTCATGATCCTCCCCAGCAGCTGCTGTGCCTGGAGAAGAGGGTGGTGTCTTCTCTGTGGCAAGGGGCCCCGTGGGAATTCTCAGAAACCTGGGTTTTGGGAAACTAGCCAGGGTAGCTGTAGGGCAGAGGTGGGTACTCTTGGCAGCGGGTGGCGTAATCTGCCAGCTGAGTGGTTCCGCTGCTGCCAGTTCCCCTGGATGTGTGGTGGCATGGGGCGGGGGTGAGGGGGACCTGCCCCCATTGACCTTCTGCTTTCCTTCTCCTCCTTCCTGCTCCATCTACCGCCTGGGGCAGACCCACCTCCTGTGAGCTCAGCCCCAGGGTCAGGAGCACAGCATCGGTCTCTCCTGGAGGAGCCTGGCTGCTCTCGGAGACACTTTCCACTGCCTTAATCTGCTGTCACTGGGTTTGAGTCAGCCCTCCCACAGGAAGCGTGGGGGGTGGGCAGACCCCGGAGCTCAGCCTTCTGTTCGCCACCCCCAAGTCTGAGCGCCCTACTCTGGGCAACCCCAGAACCTGCTGCTGCTCTGCTCTGCTGTCACCACCGATGCCCGGGAGGCCCGCCACAATGTTTGGGAGGAAGCGCAGCGTCTCCTTCGGGGGCTTTGGATGGTGGGTGCCATGGGACCAGGCAAAGGGCATGGTGGGAGGCACAGTCCATGCACGGGCAGGGCCAAGGAGGGGGTAAAGACGAGCTGTTAGGGAAGTCTCATTTCTCCCAGTAGACCAGAAAGATCTGGGATATCTTATGAGAGGGCAAGGGGTGGGGGTATCTTGGAGGTATTTTGAATGGAAGTGGGGGAGTCTGAGAATCGGATCATGAGAGATGGAAGGGACCTCGGAGACCAGCCAGTCCATTTCATAGATGAGATCACTGGGGTTCGGAGAAACTGACCAAAAGCACAGCGTCAATGGCGATGTTTGGATCCAGGTCCTCTGGTTCTGGAGCCAGCCCTCTTTCCACTGCACCCCACTGCCCACTCTGGGGGTTGTGGTAGTTAAGGGGAACCCTCCCAGAGGCCCTCAGGTGTCCCCTCATCACCCCTTGGGCACAGTCCCTTCTGAGGTCAGCAAGAGGCATCCCTGGCCCATGGAGTTCTAGAAGACGTCTGGCTGCTCCCACACAGGGCTGCTGCTCTCTAGCCGTGGGAGCGAAGCAAGGGGCTGGGGCATGGGCCAGATGACTGTCCTTTTGTCTCTGATGTCTGCAGGGTCAGACACCCTGAGACACTGTGTGCACATTGTGAGTGTGTGTGTGCATGTGTGTGCGTGTGTGCGTGCGTGCGTGCGTGTGTGTGTGTGAAAAGGTTGGGTAGGTGAGATGTCAGGAGAATTTATCAGTTACGCTATTGTATACGAACTGCTTTATATGTGTGTGCCTATGAGTGTACATGTGTGAGATGTTGAAGGCATTCATCAGTTACTATTGCATATAAATTGCTCTGTGTGTGTGTGTGTGTGTGTGTGAGAGAGAGAGAGAGAGGGAGAGAGAGGGAGAGAAAGGGAGAGAAACAGACAGACAGACAGACAGAGACAGCAAAAGGGATGGAGAGAGAGGGGGAGAGACAGAGAGTGTCTCAGATTGTGTCAGTCAATAACCCCATATGGTTCTCTGCTTCTGATAGCTCTGTGCCAGTGTTCCCTAATCTGGTTCTCAGGGCACAGACAAGCTGGGTGGGTTGGCTATCAGAAAGGAGTGGAAGAGGCTCTTTCACTATCTGCCCATTAGATCTCTGGCCACCCATCTTGGTCCACTTTGTGAGCAAAGGTCACCCTACTGTGTGACTCTGGAGTTTGCTTCATTGGCTCCTGCCTCAGTTTCCTCCTTTTGGAAAGAGAGAGTCACTGAGATAGAGAGAGACAGAGAGAGCTTCTGCTTGCCGGAGTTCCTGATTCCATTGAAAGCTCAGTTTTCAGATGATGAAATTGAGGTCTTAATAGACCCTAGGCCTGTGGCAGCTTCTTCCCAGCTGGGGAGAAGAAACCTCTGGGTCCTTGTTATCAGTTTCCTTTCAGTTCCTGGGGCGGGGACTTCATAGAAAAGGGCTGCAGAGTGGAGGGAGGGCCAGATGACAGCAGAGCCAGTTTGAGAGATAACTGGGAGAGAGCCTCAGAGTGGGGGAGATGGTGATAGGAGGCAGAGGGGAGGAAACAGGGTGGGGGACATGGAGGGAGAGATTGAGGAAGAGAGGCAGAGAAATGGTAGTGAGGAAAAAGGAAGGAGGGATGAGAGCCAAAGGGCGGTTCTGCTGACAGAGGCATCGGGGATAGGGGAGAGAATGGTCCATTGAGAGCAGATGACTTGGGTTCAAACCCCAGCTCTGCCCCTTACTACCTGGCTGACCTTAAGCAAATCCCTCTTCCTCTCTGGGCCTTAGTTTGTTCATATGTAAAATGGGGGAGCTGGAGTAGAGGGTATCTGCCATCCCTTCCAGCTGTCACAGTCTACGCTTCTATGACAAAAGGGGAGGAAGAAAGGCAGGGAAGGAGAGGAGGAAGCATCCTAGCAGCCGGAACCTTGGCCTTGGCTTTTACTCTAACCTGGTGTTCTCTTCATCCCAGCTTGAGGCCCCTGAGCCGCCTGATCTGGATTCCTAAGTCTGCCCGGCTCCCTAGCTTCCGGTCACTGAGGACCCTCTCGCTTTCCTTCCTGCTCCTGCTGCACTGGGTGCCCTGGGCCCAGCACCCACTCCCTCTTTCCCTGTCCTTCCCTTTCCATCCTACAATCTGTATCCATAAGAGGTGAGGGTGGGGGAGGGGCAGAAGAGAAGGTTATTTACAAAAATTATAGCAATGAACATATTGTTGAGTCATGTCCAGTCCTTCATGACTCCATGGACTGTATTGTCCATGGGGTTTTCTTCGTTAATATACTGGAGTGCTTTGCCGTTTCCTTCTCCCATGAATTAAGGCAAACTGAGGTTCAGTGACTTGCCCAGGGTCACACAGCTAGTAAGCATCTGAGGCCAGATTTGAACTCAGGTCTTCCTGACTCCAGACCTAGTGCTGTCTCCACTGAGCCACCTAGCTGTAGTAAAAAGAAAGTTGGATTGGGAGTCAAAGGGCTGGGTTCAATCCATATTTCTGCTACTTAGTACCCATGTGACCTCAGATTCTTCTATAAAATTAGGGGGTGACCTAATTAAAATTAGGGTGACCAACATGACCTCTAAGGCCCCATCCAGCTCGAAGACCATGATCCAAAGATGTTCATATAAATGCAGGAAGAATGTACAAGGATAAGGTAATCCGAAGTCCGTATAAAAGAAAACTCCTCAGTACAGAGTGACTGGTACCCAAACTTGTTAAGCTTTTCACTCATTCAGGTTCCTTGGGTCTCTCTCAGCTGGCCGGAGGAACTGGGTCCAAATCCCACCTTTGATACTACCTGCAGGGAGGCAGCCTGACGTAGTGGACAGAGCTTGCTAGCTGTGTGACCCTGGGCAAGTCAGCCACTGGCCATTTTGCAGAGCTGTGTTCCGTGCTCTTTCGACACTGTTTTCCTTTGTATCGTTTTGGACACTGTGAAAACTGTTCTCCTGGTCCTGCTCCCTTCGCTCTGTATTAGTTCATGTTAGTCTTCCCATGTTTCTCCGAACTCTTGATAATTGGCATTTCCTACGGCACAATAATGTGGTGTCACATTCACAGGCCACCATTTGTCCAGCCACCCTTCCATTGATGTGCACCCACCATCCTCCTAGTTCTTTGCTACCACTGGATATTTTTTTTTGCGTGGGACCTTCCCCCTGACTTTGGCCTCCTTGGGAAACCTAGTCCTGGTATGGCCTGGCCGGGGGTCACAAAGAGTATGATGGCTTTTCCAGAACAGTCAGACCAATTCATAGTTCCACCAATGGTGCATTGCTCTTCCTTCCGTCCTGCTTGGAATAGTACACTAGCCTTCTCACTGCTCTCTCTGCCTCCAATCCAGCTTCCCAGAGCTGCCAAATAATCTCTCTGGTGACGGTCTGACCTTCAGTAACTCCCTACTGTATCTAGTAGAGAATGCAGCCCTGACGGTTAAGGCATCTACAGTAGAGCTCCAAGCTACCTTTCCAGCCATCTGGCTTTGACACGTTCTGGCTGTGCAATCCTGAGCAAGTCACCTCAGTGCCCCAGGGAACTCAGTCCACAAGTTGTGGACCTGCATTGGTAGAGTGACGGTCTTCACTTTGGAGTTCCTTATGCCAATGACGTCCCAGGTCCAGTCTCTCTCCCTACCCCATTTCATGATGCCATTCAGATTGGATCATTGGGTGGTCTCTGAACTTGGCATGCTCTCTCCATCCTCTTTGCATTCACACAGGCTGCTGTGGGGGCACCCCTCCTCCCCGCCATGCCTGGAGTACACTCCTCCCTCCTCTCTGTCTTTCAGAATCCTTCTGTTTCTTTAAAGCTCAGCCCAGGTGTTTCCTCTTCCAGGAAGCCTCTCTGGATTTCCCCAGCTGAAGGGATTTTCTCCTTCCTCCAGGAAACCCTGTCTGGTTCTCTCTTTGCCCAGTGGCACTCTATTAGTTGTACAGTCTGGGTCGTCTTCCCCTGCCCTGGAATCAAGTAGAACACAAGCTTGTTGAGGACAGGGATTGAGTCATATTTTTTTTTGTCTTTGTGTCAGCAACCATTAGCACAGTGTCTGACCCGTATCAGTCCTGCCTCTGATTCTTACTTGCCTTGGGTAAGTCTCTTGGCCTCCTTTGACCTCAGTTTTATCATCTGTAAAAAGAAGCAATTGGATGAGGTGCCTTCTAGGTCTTGCTCCATGATTCTATAAACTTAATAAATTTTGGTTGAATTAAACTTAGTCTGCATGACTGAGAAACTGATGGACCATTGATAGAAATGGAAGTTCAAAAAGGTTTGGGGAATGAGAGGGGGATAATTTCGGTCTTAGAGATGTGTTTGAAGCAACTGCTGGTTGTTCAGGTGGAGATGTTCACCAGGTAGTTAGAGATGTAGCTGGAGCTCAGGAGAGAGGTCAGGGCTGGATATATGGGAGTATTCTACCAAAAGGTGATGGGATGGAATGGGACTGGAACCATGATTCTATAGGTATGGGGAATTCCTGGTGAGGAAATGCCCTCTACCAATGTAGGTTAGCCCCTTCTCAGCAAATTATAGTTTTAGAGTGTTTCCTGGGGCAGTGAAGTAAGTGAAGGTGAAGAAACTTGCGCAGGGTCACATGGGTATGACTGGAACTCAGGTCTCTTAGGCCAGCTTTCTACCCACTTGCTATATACTGTGTTGAGGTGAGAGTTGGAAGAATGCTGGTGAATGCAGTTGAGGTGCAAGGTGGATCAGAGTGACATCATCGAGCTCAGGTAACTGCCAGATTTAGGATGTGGGGAAATGAGAGGAAATGGGAGGGAGAGAGAACAAAAGGAGATAAAGATAGAAAATGAGATAGAGACAAAGAGACAGTGAAGGAGACAGAGGGCAGGAGAACAGCTCAAGCTAACAAGTAGAATTGTCTCCAAGTTCACCCCTCTTCAGATGTCTCCCAGCAGCTCCAGATGACCACCTGCTGTGGGTGAGGAGGGGATGCTGGGTCAGGTGAGCTGCTCTGTGAGGTCCCTTTCAGTACTGAGAGTCTGGGATTCTCTGAGAGATGCCGAGAGAAGAGGAGAGAAGATTGATAGAAGGCATTAGAGAATGAATGACAGACTAATAGAGCAAGAGATAGGATAATAAGAGTGAATGATAGCATAATAGAGATGGTGGGAGCAAATAAGAGAAAGGGGAGAAAGAATCAGCTAGTACATGACAGAGAAAAGGGGAAAGGGAGAACAAGAGAGGATGAACTGGAAAAAGGATGAGAGGATGAAAAAGGGAAATAGACTATGAGAGGAAGAGAATAAGAAAGCATTGAAGAAGGAACAAGAGGATGAAAGGATAA